GCCATGACTGAGCCAGGAGCGGGCAGGTCAGGACTGTTTATAACACATGGAACCTCTAGTTAGAAACTTAATTGGTTCTTTGAGCCCATTTGTAACTTGAAACATTCATAAATTGAGGTGGCGCTGCCAATTGAAATGAATGGAGATGGAATTAATCTGTTGCAGTCCCAAAATGAAGTTATATTTACCTTTTTTTCCCCCACTAGTATGTTGTTTAAAATAAGTATTGCAATTTAGAAACAAGTAAAACACATCACATTATTAAGAAATAAAATGGTTAAAAAAGAAATATGCTCATTAACTTTACCAGAGGAGGGGGGGAAAGGAGAAGAGGATGACAGCTCCTAATTCTACATTTCTTCTTCCATAATAACTTGTCCATGCCAAGACTGTTCTGATATTGAAAATAGTACATATATAAAGAGGTCATCTTTTCATGAAAACTGCATACATAACTCAAATTTTAGGTAAAGAGGGTCATTTGTAACTAGAGGTTCCACTGTATTCCAGTATCAACATTTAATTTAGTCATTCTTCTGCTTACCACTTGTGGAAACTAGCATATCATTCGTGGTACACATAGCACACTTTCTCTGGTTTGAACAATACAATATGGCTTGCTCGGTGCCCTGAGTCATGGGGTTCATGACCTTTTCAGTGATCTTCAAGGTGTGCGGACATACGCCAAGCGTGATGGCAGCGATTGGATCCTGAATGGCAACAAGGTAATAATGTCTCCAAGGAAGGCAAAAGACAGGTAACATGTTTTTTTCTTTTTTTTTTTGTCCTGGGATCCAATTCAGTTCACTTCAGATATAGTGGACAATAAAATTTCCAGTAAATTTTGCAAAAGTCTCTTGTTCATTTTCATGGTCAATTAGACTGTGGAATTTGGATGGATGATGGCAGTTTTGAGAATGGATAGATTGGATTGGATTTAGGACCCATTACAATGAAACTGTACTGCTTGGGGGAGACGATGTGCTTGATGTATTGCATCTCAGAGTGACCTGGTCAACCTGTGCAGGTGTTCATCACCAACGGCTGGATGGCCGACCTGGTGGTGGTGGTGGCCGTGACCGACCGTGAGGCAAAGACAGCAGCCCACGGCATCAGTCTCTTTCTGATAGAGGATGGCATGAGTGGCTTCCACAAAGGGCGCAAGTTGGAAAAGATTGGCCTAAAGGCACAGGTACTTAAGACCGCACATTTGATGAAGATTGTCTTTCCCCTCTGACATGCCAGCGCTTGTATTACCTGTCATCATCATCTTCTCAAGGACACCGCTGAACTTTTCTTTGAGGATGTACGACTCCCAGCGGAGAGCCTATTAGGCGAACTCAACAAAGGTTTCTACTACTTGATGAATGAGCTGCCGCAGGCAAGTGCCCGCTCTAGTCTGCACGCTGTTTTTGCATGTTGGCTTAATCTAATTTGTAATGTTGTGATCTGTGTTCAGGAGCGTCTGGTGATCGCCGACATGGCCGTCGCAAGCTGCGAGTTTATGTTTGAAGAAACCAGGAACTACGTGTTGCAGAGGAAAGCATTTGGAAAGACAATCGCTCACCTCCAGGTGTGTAGGGTGGCTTTTTGTAATTTTGTGAGACTGTGTTGCCTTAAGGCAGGGGTCCCCAACCGCCGGTCCGCGGACCGGCACCGGTCCGCCGGGCCTTTGGTA